GGGGCGGGGCGGGCAGGGGTGCCCGGGGCTGGGCAGGGCAATGCCCGTGTGCGCGGGGGTCGCCCTCAATCCGTGCTCTTCCCCGTCAAGTGCAGCATGGCCCGGAGCCGGTGCAGACGCCGCCCCGACAGAGCTGGTCGGCACCGCGGGGGAGACGGTCACGTTTCCTCTCGAGATCCCGGCAGGGGGGGGATTAGATAATGCTCGATTGGCACAGAGAGTCTAGCAATCGCGGTACCAGGAGACCCCGCGAGTGTCCTTGTCACAGACAGGCGCTATAGGGGCCGCCTGCGTGTCCCCAACGCCGGCCTCGCACTGCACATCACCGACCTGAGGCCGGAGGACGCGGGGTCCTACACAGCTAGAGTCAACACGGATAAAAGCACATTCACCTGGTTCTTCACACTGCGGGTCTACGGTGAGTGCTGGTTTGTGTTTGTTTTTCTTCTTTTTAACTCTATCAAAGATAAATCTGACAATGTAGGGATTAAACAGTCTCTGCCACGACCTTCCGTGTCCATCTCTGCCCTACAGTTGAAATGCAACAGCCTAGTTAATATTAACTGTCTGGAAGGGCACAGGGATGGGGATGGATACCCTGGCAGGGATGTGAATCCCCCTCCCTGGAAGGGGCAGGATGAGCACTCGTGTTACTGTGCCCGGTCCAGGGGAGCAGTCTCTGCTTTCCCCACACATCAGCCAAGCGGGGGGCAGTGGACAGATCTGGGCTCTGAGCATTACAGCTGCAGCCGGAGTAAAGACATGATGTGCAGCGCCCTTGTGACCTCCGTACTCAGAACTCACGGGTCTGGATATTTCTGAGCAAGGACCCTGGATAGAGATATCAGTCACCAGGGGCATCTCAACCCAGACACATCCCCGCGGGGGTCTGCCACCCCAGGGGCTCCTAACAGGGACCATCCAGCATCACCTGAGGGGGGCTGATAGGCCTTTTTCTTGTCTGCTCTGTCACCTGGTGATCTGAGCTGCTCTGCTCTCCCAGTACTGTCTCAGGGAGATGCTTGGAGGAAACCATAGTCCTCTTTTATTCTTTCCCACTGGTATTCTCCCATTTCGTTTCCTCTCCCTGCAGAGCGGCTGCCCCAGCCCACGATTCACTGCAATGCCCAGAGCTGTGCAAATGGACTCTGTAGCACCACTCTGAGCTGCACCATCCCCAACGGAGGCAGCAAAGTGACCTACAGCTGGAGCACCCCACAGCCCCTCAGTATGACCAGTCAAGGATCCATTGTGGTCATCTCTCACCCAGATCTTATGATAAATGTCACGTGCACAGTGCAGAGCCCCACCAGCAGCAGCTCCATGACAGCCTCTGCCAAGGCCCTTTGTGCAGGTAACATGTCCTGTGGGGAGCTCCATGCAGCTCACACCTGGGGAGAATGGGCATCAGTGTGCAGGCTGTTGAGGGGGCCACAAGGTACCTGACTCCAGGCAGATGCTGCACCACTCTCCACCCTGAAACTCGACCCTGCAGATTCACTCTGCCCCTGCTACCCAGGGAGCCACATGCACCATCTCTGTGCAGGGAGTACTCAGCCCTGGAGCTCCCTGCAGGGCTCCTCCTCCCCCTGGAAGCTACCCAGGGCCTGTCCCCATCCCTGCTGCCCCCCAGGGCAAACACCACAGGGTAGCACTGTTAGGTTTGACCTAGAAACCACTACACATAGCCCAAGCAAAAGTCTCTGTTCTGTAACTAATGCTCAATTGCAATGATAAGGAGAAGACAGTCTTAGATAAAGGAGACTTGAAAACAAAAACAGAATTAGTGGAGTAGGGCAAAGAGCTGATTTAAATATTAAGATTCACACCCCTAGGTGGGGAGAAAGTATGCTAATGAAACATACATGTATGGAAATGAGATACATAGCTAAAACACAGGTATAGAGACATGCTCAGTAAAGAACTCCTTGCGTCACTCCCTTATAACCAATTAGCAAACAAGAATGCTTATAAAGGTCCAATCCTCCTGTATAAAAGATGCTCATAATTAAGACTCTGTGTGCTTGTTACGTGAAATTATTCCGCTTGCACCTTGTATTGCTAGCAATAAATCTTTATACTTTCACCCCTGGTATCTTTATTGGCTTTTGCATACCGGGCACGATCCCAGACTTGAGCTGGGGCCCAACAGCACCAGCCACTTCCCCCTGGCTCTGACCCTCTGCCTTGCTCTTGTTCCAGCAAACGCGTCTGCCCAGGCCTCATCGCTGTCCTACTGCCAGGCCAAGGGGCTCATCCTGCTGTTGGTGCTGGGGGTGCTGATCACTGGGACCGTGGCAGTGCACATCATGGCTGGCAGGCAGCCCAAACAGGACTGAGCAGGGCCCAGCCCACAGCAGCCCTGCTCCACTCCCGGAGAGAAGGATGTGGGAGGCTGCAGCACGGAGGAGAAGCAGCCGGTGGGCTGTGGGGTCTGACTCCGAGTGTCAGAGACCAGTTCCTAAAGCAGCACGGATGCCCTGGACAAGTGCCACCCCATCGCTGCCTCCTCCCCTGCCCAGTGGGGCCAAATGATCATGACCCCCAGTCTACAGGACAGTAACCGGCTGGGCTCAGGGGCCCACAGACAGGGGCGAGACACAGCACCGCTGTCCCGGCGGCAGCTGCAGCCTCGAAACAAACTTGCCCTCCTCTGCACTGTCTGTCTCTGAACCCTCAGGGTCAAACCTCCCCCAATGCCCCAAGAGCCCCATGAGGTTGCACCATGGCCCCCAGGGCTTGTTCAGCCATCAGCAAGGTGGGTGCCAACGTCTGTGGGAGGCAGGATCTCCACTGGTAGGGGTAACACCCGAGCACCCCTCCCCACCCTCATTTCCCTTTTGCAGCAAACCCAGCCCAGCCCCATCAAGGAGGAGCTCCCAACAAGCCTTGCTGCCTGCCCCCACACTTCCTGCTTCTCCTTGAAAGCCTGCCTCCACTGCACCCACCCCGGTGCCCGGCCTGGCCCCTGACCTGCTGCTCTGCCCAGGCGGGGCACTGCTCTACTGCTGGGCCAAGGGGCTCTACCTGCTGCCACCTGCCCCGGTGCCCAGGGGAGGCTTTACACAGGCTTGGACCCAGGAGCAGAGACCCCACAGGGTGCTGTGTTGGGACCAGGAGCCTCCTGGCCTGCGTTTTGAGCTTTGTGCTTAGTTTAAATACCGTGCTTTGCTTGAATCCACTGTAAGTAGCAGGTGGAAAAATACTGTCCCTGCCTGAAAACGAAAGGAGAACTTGGCTTACTAAACTGAATAAATATAGCCTGGACAAAAGAGCAAACCTACCCCCACCTAAGAATGAAAACATCACCTCGGAATAGAGAATCCCAGTTAACGGTAACCATATTTGGCAAACACAAGCACTATTATTAATATGCATTACGAGAAAGGCTTAAGTTGATTTTCTGTATTAAGAAATGCTAGCTATCTGGTATGTAAAGAAAGGAGAGGGCACGGACCCTTCTGCACCTAGTCCTGGGCGATCCGGTCACCGACCAAGATCCAGTACTCAGACGAAGGAGGCGGGAACCTGGGACATGCGCTCCGTGCCCGGGCCAGGCCGGGCTGCAGGGCAGAGGCACCGGCGGAGCTGGCGGCC